TCTCTCTCTCTCTCTTTCTGGTGAGTGCATGTGCCCTATAGCAAAAACCTCTCCAAAACTAACTAACTAACTAAATGTGTGTGTGTGTGTGTGTGTATGTTATGGACTTGCTCCATGCTGTAGTAGTAATGTGGTGCTTAGGAAAAGCTGGATCCCACATCACAACCGTGGTTCCATTTTCTGTCTTTTATGTGCATGTGTGCACTCTATCATAAATAAGGAAAGAAAATATATACATATATATATATAACTAAATATAATGTATATATTTGTATAGGATTTTGGTTATATGCCTAATAAAATAAAGGTTAAGTTGCCAGAACCTAACTTTCCTAGGAAAATTCTTTTCATTCCTTCTGAGAAAAAAACCTTTCAACTTCTGTGAAGGTGTGCCTGTGTGTGTATGTGTGTGTGTATGTTTTCCTGGACATGAAAACTGGCTGTTGTGCTCTCAAAGAGGAGGACAGAGGTGTCATGTTTGCCACTAGTGTAGTGTCCTATGGGCAAGATGCATCTCCACATCTATAGACCACTCATCATGTATTACAGACAGGTGTTTGCTTTATTTTGGCCAATGACCTGCTCTTATTCACTTTTACTCTTCCATAACTTGTTGAAAATGATTGATAATGAGTGACTTCCATGCCCCTAATTTTATTTGATATTGTAGACAAATCTTTCTTTTGTTTTCAGTGGATTCTAAAAGAATGCAAAGCACATATGAATGTACAGTTTGTTCATGTTGAATCTGAACTATAAAACTATCTTACAGTTACTTATAAACTATAACCTTTAAGTAAAAAATTTATAAATTTATATGAGATGACAGCAATGTTTTATCACAGAAGGCTGATCTGCAGTTTTGAGACTGAAATGAAAGAAGAAAGGGCTAATAATTTATGAAGAAACAAAACTTGGAGTGCATGGCTTTAATAGTTCTTTAGTTTAAAGAAAATTTCTATGCAGAAAAATCCTACCAATGATTAATATATGCATACAGCATTACATATCCCACCCAATATTTCATGTTGTATTTGGATGCTAAGTATGAAGATGTCTAGTAGAAAAGATACTGGTAACATTACAGAACATAGGTCCTTTGGGCCATGACCCTCACTCAGCCTTTTATTAGAAGATGCTGATGTCCTTTTTTATTTGCATCACCCACTTTGCTTGATAATGTAACCATTACAGTAATTTAATCATTACAGTATTCTTATTTTCATTGAAGATAAAGAAAGCATACTGGTGTAAGCTTTGGTGATAGGCTCTGTAACTGATGACCTTCTTATGAGAAGGGTCTACTTTGACAACATTCATTACGCACATTGTCAGGTTTGCACAACTAACATCAGGATGACGTACAGGCCAGCAGTATGCACCTCTTATTCTATTCATGTTTGTAAATATGAAACAGAAAAATACATATGTGTTTTCAATCTCTTTAGCCCAATAACTATCAAACCTTGTGGAAATGATTTACACTTCCAACGTATCAGGATTTTTATATGAAATATTAGGATAATGCCAAAGTTGCCTCTTGCACAGAGTGGATGTAGGGCTTAAATGTTTGAACAGGTCTGGCAAACTCATACATTTGCTCTTCCTATCCTCAAATGCTTTCCCCAGCACTTGGATGGTATTTATTTTCCACTGCAGGTTTCCTTCTCATCCCTCTTCTTGCATTTGTAGATATTTTTGCATGGTAACAACCTGAATAGTCTACACCAACTCATTCATCCTGAGATTCTGCCCTCTGAGTTTGGAGGAATGCTACCCCCTTATGACATGGGAACGTGGGCAAGAACACTGCTAGACCATGAGTATGATGACGACAGTGAGTACAATGTGGATTCCTACACCATGCCTGTGAAGGAAGTAGAAAAGGAACTGTCACCCAAGTCCATGAAAAGGTATGCTGGGAGGTACCTTGGAAAGTGGGTTGGGGCCAGGGTGGGGAGGCATCCCAAATCAAATTCCAAATTTTAGATTATCTAGTGGTATTTTAAAACCTTTCATGCTCCTATGATTAGATGTCTACAAACTTTGAGTCAAATATAAAGTCATTTTTTTCATAATGAGAGCATTTAAAATCTACTCTTTTAGCAGTTTTTAAATATATCATGCATTATTAACTAGAGACATCATGCTGTGTAACAGAACTTATTCCTGTTGTCTAACTGAAACTTCGTAGGCTTTGACCAATATCTCCCCATCTCTGACTCATGCTATACTCTGTATAAGACTGACTCTTTTAGATTCTACATATAAGTAGAATGATACAGCATTTGCCCCATTATGTTGTACCCTGCAAACACATGCAATTATTTGTCAATTAAACAGATAACGTCATTAGAGAAAATCTCAGCATTGTATTGTTCCAAATTCACAATCTAGCATGGCACTTAGAAATCATCAAATCCATTTCCATCCAAAAACCACAAAATATACACTTTTTTCAGCCCTCCGTGGTACTTTCTCAAAGATTGACCAGGCAATAAGGAACAAAAGCAGCCTTTACAGATTCAAAGGTATAGGAACTATATCCAGCATCTTCTCTGACCATGATGGAATGAAACTTGATATTAATCTCACAAAAAAACCTTGAAAATACACAAATACTTGAAAACTAAATAACCTACTTCTGAATGACTTCATGACTGCTGAAGAGATTAAGACTGAAATCAAAAGATTCATGGAAATAAATGATAATGAGTATATAAGTTTCCATAATTCATAATTCATAATTCATAATTCATGATGTACTTCTTTATTTACTTCACCCACTTTGCTTGATAACTTAATCATTACAGTAATTTAATCATTACAGTATTCTTATTTTCATTGAAGATAAAGAAAGCCATACTTGTGCAAGCTTTTGGTGATAGGCTCTGTAACTGATGAGCCTCTTATGAGAAGGGTCTATTTTAGCAACATTCATTATGCATATTGTCAGGTTTGCACAACTAACATCAGGATGATGTACTGATGTGCTGATGACTACAAAAGCAGTCATAAGAAGGCAGTTCATAGCAATTAGTGTGCACAAGAAAAAGATAGAAAGGTGGCAAAAGGACAACCTAATATCATGCCTCAGGGAATTAGAAAAACAATAACATAAAAATCCAAAAAAATTCCAGGAGAAAAGAAATAAAAAAGATTCAAACAGATATAACTGACATAGAAAATAAGTAAACTATACAGAAAATAAAAAGCAAAAGCTGGTTCTTTGAAAAGATAAACAAGATTGACACGCCATTAACTAGACTAATTAAGAAGAGAGAAAGGAACCAGATACATCAAATTCTCAATGAATCAGAAAACATTACAACAGACATAATAGAAATACAAAACATCATTGGAAGACAGTATGAGCGACTATATGCCAACAAAGAAGAAAACCTGGATAGGATGTACAAATTCCTAGACACATATAATCTACCAAGATTAACTCGGGAAGGCGTAGAAAGCCTGACTAGACCCATGACAAGCACTGAGATTGAATGAGTCGTAAAAAACCTCCCAACAAAGAAAAGTCCAAGCCCTGAGGGCTTCACTGCTGAATCTTACAAAACTTTTAAAGAAGAGGTAATCCCCATTCTACTCAAACTGTTTCTAGAGATCCAAAAGGAAGGAACCCTTCCAGATTCATTCTACGAAGCCTATATTACCCTTACTCCCAAAATGGATATGACAAAAAAGGAAAACTACAGACCTATATCTCTGATGAATATAGATGCAAAAGTTCTCAATAAGATACTTGCTAACTATGTTCAACAGCATATAAAAATGATTATTCATCACGACCAGGTAGGCTTTATTCCAGGGATGCAAGGGTGGTTCAACATACGCAAAACCATAAATGTAATACACCATATTAACAGAAAGAAAGATAAAAACTATATAATCATTTCAATTGAAGTGGAAAAAGCATTTGACGAAATACAGCATTCCTTTATGACTAATACTCTCAGTAAAATTGGCATAGAAGGATCTTTTCTCAGTATAAGAAAAGTCATCTATGAAAAACCTAACATTATACTGAATGGGGAAAAGCTGAAAGCTTTTCCACTGAAAACTGGTTCAAGACAAGGCTGACCACTTTCTCCGCTCCTATTCAATTTAGTACTGGAAATCCTAGCCAATGTGATCAGACAAGAGAAGGAAATAAAAGGAATTCCAATAGTGAAATAAGAGCTGAAATTATCTGTTTGCAGATGACATGATTGTCTACATAGTATCCATGAAAAAAAACTTCTCTAAGTAATAAATGGATACAGTAAAGTGGTAGGATACAAAATTAACTTACAAAAATCTATAGCATTTCTATATATGAGCAACAAGTTGAGACAGAACTGAAGAAATTAACACCATTTACTATAGCCACAAGAAGCATAAGATACCTAGGAATAAAACTAACCAAGGAAGTCAAAGTCCTCTGTAAGGAAAACTATGAAAACCTTACAAAGGGGCCGGCCAGTGGTGTGGTGGATAAGGGCGCTGGATTCCCACATGGCCAACCACGGTTTGAGTCTCAGACCTGGTGGCTTGCTTTCTCACTTTCCATCTTTCACTCTGTCTCTCTCTGTGTCTTTCTGATCAAATTAAAATAAATAAATAAATAAAATGAATGAATAAATAAAATTAAATAAATAATTCTTTAAAGAAAAAAAAACCTTACAAAGGAAATCGAAAAGGACACAAAAAAGTGGAAGGACATCCCATGTTCCTGGATTGGCAGAATGAAGATAATCAAAATGGCAATCCTATCCAAATTAATCTACATATTTAATGCAATCCCTATAAAATTATGAGACATTCTTCACAGATCCAGAAAAGATCATCATAGTATTTGTCTGGAATAATAAAAGACTTCATATTGCCAAAGTCATCCTGCGCAAGAAGAGTGGAGTGGGTGGCATTTCACTTCCTAATCCCAAAATATTTTACAAAGCTGTGATAATCAAAACAGCATGGTATTGGTACCAAAACAGACATGAGGACCAATGGAACAGAAAAGAGACCCCAGTAATAGCCTCCAAAACATATAGCCAACTGATCTTTGACAAAAGGCACCAGTGAATCCAGTGGGAAAAGGAAAACCTCTTTAGCAAATGGTGCTAGAAAACCTGGGTATCCATGTGCACAAAGATGAATCAGAACCACTGTCTGTCATCATTAACAAAAATCAACTCAAAGTGGGTCAAAGATTTAAACCTAAGACCACAAACTATAAAACTTCTGGTAAGAAACATTGGGGAAACTCTAGGAGACACTGGAGTAGTCAAAGACTTCTTAAGTAAGACCCTCAAGCACAGACAATAATCCCCAATATAGATAGGTGGGATTATATCAGATTAAGAAGTTTCTGCACAGCAAAGGACACCATAATTAGTGTGAATTGACAAGCCTCAGAATGGGAGAGTATTTTTGTCAACTGTGCCTCAAATAAGGGACTGATAATCAGAATACACAGGAAACACAAGCAGCTTACCTGGAAGAAAAAGATTAACACAATTAAAATATGGGGAAATGCTTTCTGTCTCTCTCTCTCTGTCTTTCTGGTGAGTGCACATGCCCTATAGAAAAAACCTCTCAAAAAAAAAAAAAAAAAGAAAAAAGAAAAAAAAAAAGAAAGGAAAATGAGCTGAATAAACAACTCTCTAAGGAAGATATATAAATTGCCAAAAAGTATATGAAGAAATGCTCAACATTCCTCATCATAAGGGAGATGCAGATCAAAAACACAATGAGATACCACCTGACCCCAGTCAGAATGGAGAAGATTAAAAAAAAAGAAACAATGATAAGTGATGGCTGGGATGTGATGAAAGGGGAACACTCCTACACTTTTGGTAAGAATGTAAATTGGTACAGCTACTGTGGAGAATGATATGGAGGTTCCTCAAAGACCTTCAAATAGAACTACCATATGATCCAGCAATTCCACTCCTGGGTATCTACCCAAAGGACAGCAGAACACTCAATCAGAAAAGTGCTTGCACATCTGTATTCATTGCAGCATTATTCACAATTGCTAAGACATGGAACCAACTCAAATGTCCACAAACAGACGAATGAACTGTAGAATTGTGGCACATATACTCCATGGAATACTACTCAGCCATAAAAAACAATAAGGCCATGGAATTTGATTGAAAGTGGATGAATATGGAGGATTTGTTGCTGAGTGAAGCAAATCAGGCTATGAAAGAGACATTGTATGTCTCCACTTAACATATACTGACTGTCTGCACTCTAGAGACTGTCTCCACTTAACATATACTGACTGCACTCTAGAGACTTGAAAGCCTGGAGGACATAAAAGCATTAAAAATTGTTATGGACACTAAAGATAAAGTGGAAAGAGTTTGGGAGAGGAAGAGTGTAGGAAAGGACATTTGGTGATAAAAATAGAAAGCTAAGACATTTGTGGGAAACAGATATGGTTCATTATCTGTTGATGAGAACGTGTATAGTATTCTCAATTAGGCTGGACTGAGGTGTATTATCATGCTGGGTAAAGTCTCTTTACAGTCTAAATGATGTATAGCAATCAATGTTTAAACAATAATAATAATAAAGAAGCCATCAAGTCCAGTGGTTTTCAAACTGTACCCTTAGGAACTGAGGGTTTTGATGGAGTTTCTCAGGCCAAGCATGTGGGATGGAAAG